GTGTGTGTATGTGTGTGTGTGTGTGTGTGTGTGTGTACAAAGTGTCCCATTTTAAAAGTTGCACTGAAATATCTCTTTAAAAAAATATTTTCAGAAAAAATTATTTCAGACAAAAGTTATAAAGCTCGAAAGGAGACATCTAAAGGTAATCTTGACTCTGACTTTAGGTTATTTCAAAGTCAATTTCGGTTATGTAAGTAGGAACCCCCTTTTTGACAGCAGAAATGAAAAAGCGACAAATTTTACGTTCAGATATAGTCATGTCATTGGGTCAATGTGACCCCTATAATAAGGGTCAATGCTGACGTCTATTAGGAAAGCATTCACGATACAATCGTGCTGCTGCATATTAATTACCATATTCTCCGAGAACTAAAAGAATATCAACTATTTCGTTTCGCGTGTAATCTGGAATATTTTTCAGTGATAAAAGAAACGAAACATTTTTAAGAACCAATATTTTCTAATGAATTTCTGTGAACAGCAAACTAAAAAAGACGTGAGTGACGCTGAGTTTGTCCGTTTTTCAATCCCCTTCAAAGAGGATATCAGTCAAACCACTCGATTGTTGTAAGATTAGTTCAACTTGACTATGTATGAATTTCAAATTATGACCTCTAGGATCATTCGTATTGTCCTATCAGGGAGGAACGACCTGATGTATGTATATATCAGGATGTCTGACTCGTACCGTACCAGAACTAATATACATGGTGTTTCCTAAAAACCATTCAGTATTTATATAGTAGATAGTACACATCGTATTGACAAGTAAACCTACCTGTGTGTCACTAACCGATTTTACTGAAACTCAATATACTTGTAGAATAGTGAGAAATAATAGACACGTATTTTTTTATATCGGCAATGATGCAATTGTAAGGGTGAAAACACTCTCTGAAGGTAATTTGAGATTTTGTTTTGAAGAAATATCTTCGGAACCGTCCTTAGAAGAAAAAGTCCTTAGATAAAAATTTAATAATAATTAACGTTCTTGAAAATAGTATAATGAAATTTTGCAATAATTTGATACTTTGAAAAATACCGCCACCACCAT